GTTCAAATCCAACAGTGATAGCAATAATAGAAGTATTAGCAGTAATCGGGAAGATTAGGGAGCGAAGATATGATTCGAAAAGTATAATTCAGTGAGATAAATTTAGAAGGAGAAATATAAAGATGATGGAGGATGCAGAAGACTAGAATTAGAGAGAAAACAAAGAGTGGATGCACCTGTGCCATTGAAAAAGATTCTGAGCCATGTCGTTCAAGGTCTCTAACCATCGGTGACTTTCGTCTCGCGGACCCCAACCAGGTAGTAGTCTACATCTACCAACATGACTCAGTCCATTTATCAGTGACTTCATGGATTTCTGCCATGTTTTGGTCTGGCCGCCCCTAGCTTTCTTCTATTCTACTCCTACACCATAAAGCATAGCTCGTCGCGGCAGTCGGTGGTTAGCCATACGTAACACATGTCCCAACCACCTCAACTGATCAAGTTTCACTACTTCATTTATTGATTTACCATCCCTACCTAGAACTCGTTTCCTAACGACAGCATTGCTTATACGGTTGTCCTATGATACACGAGCAATACTAGTAACCTGCGAATATTTTGTACTCTTTTACCGGCAAAGTCTCACATCCGTACAGTAGGACGGAGCGAACTGCTGCACAGTACACCCGTCGTCCTTTGGTCAGCAAACGGATATCTCGCCTGCGCCATAGGTGACGCAGGTTGGCAAAAGCCAATCGAGCCTTCTGTATCCTAACTTTAATCATATCAAGGATTTCGCGCAACTTCAAGTTTCTACACAGATATATGGATATATATATATATATATATATATATGTATACTGTCAGATTGTGTGATACACATAATTTAATACACACACACACACACACACACACACACACACACACGAAAAACTAGACAAATTAATAGCAATAGCAATAAATATTTCAATGAATATATAACTTATATGCGTTTCAAATCAGAATGTATTCATCATTAACAAGTATAATTCAAGAAAAAAATCCAGGTATACAACATATCTAGGCCAAGATTGATTGTAAGTGAAAAAAAATAAGTAGAATTTTTATACAAACGATACTCTGTCTAGTTTGAATAATGAATAGGCATTAGATATAATTAATAAATAGTGTAAGTAAAACAAATAAATGTTCAATAGTGTTGGAAAAAACTCTGATTTTTCAAACTAATAGTACACATGAATTCTAGGGATCATGAGGGAACGCATAGAATATCAATCTATTATTATTATTATTATTATTATTATTGGTCACTGGCTATCATCATAGGGGACTTGTATCACCCTTAATGCTGTTCCACTGTCTTTAGATTGAAGAGTCTACGAGTGACCATTCCAAAAAAACTACCTGCTTCAGTTTAGGCATATGGGAAGCATATCAGCCCATATATAGTTTGGTACCTTCTTTTTTTATCAATAAATGCGTTTAGATGATAATAATAACAGACAGACAGATACAATGCAGAACTTCGTACGTACGTACATTAGTTCAGGTTGCCATACCACAACATTAGCACAGAGATGCAACTGTCAGTTCAAATACTATAGTGGTAGCGATAGTAGAGTTATTAGCAGTAATGGAGAAGATTAGGGTTCGAAGATAGGATTCGAGAAGTATAATTCAGTGAGATATCTTTCGGAAGAGAGAGATAGAGGTGATGAGATGTTAGTACGTGAACAGTACAATTCAACAAAGAACCAATCAGATGTAATAATGATGCAAAGTATGAAATGCTACTAGGTTCAGAAGATAGAGGAAGACAAATAATATGGGAAACTAGGCCTGATTGACTGTTTTTTCCACATCCGCTTCAAGAAGATTTAGGATGAGGAACAAGTCCCATCAGATTGGAAAAAAGGGTACCTCATCAAAATACCAAAGAAAGGCGATCTCAGTAAGTGTGAGAACTACAGAGGCATCACTCTTCTTTCAATACCAGGCAAAGTCTTCAACAGGGTATTGTTAAACAGAATGAAGGACTTCGTTGACGCCCAAATTCGAGATCAACAGGCCGGATTTCGTAAGAATTGATCGTGTACTGACCAAATTGCTACATTACGGATCATTGTGGAACAATCAATAGAATGGAACTCACCACTCTACATCAACTTCATCGACTACGAGAAAGCATTTGACAGCGTGGATAGGAAAACACTGTGGAGGCTTCTTCGACACTACGGTGTGCCTGAGAAAATAGTTAACATCATACGGAATTCTTATGATGGATTCAACTGCAAAATCGTACACAAAGGACATCTAACAGACTCTTTCGAGTTGAAGACCGGTGTCAGGCAAGGTTGCTTACTCTCACCCTTTCTCTTTCTCCTGGTGATCGACTGGATTGTGAAGACGGTATCAACTGGACAGTTAGGACGCGGCTGGACGATCTGGAATTCGCAGATGATCTGGCTCTTTCATAGCACACGCAACAACAAATGAGACGGCCAGTGTAGCAGCAGGTCTCAACATACATAGAAGGAAAAGCGTCACAAGACAAGCCTTCACTTAGAACCCTCAAGGACAAAGGAAAAGAGGAAGGTCAATGAACACATTACGCCAAGAAATGGAGACAGACATGAGAGGAGTGAACAACAGTTGGACAGAACTGGAAAGGGAGGCCCAGGACAGAGGTAGGTGGGAGAATACTGGTCGACGGCCTATGCTACATTGGAGGTAACAGGAGTGAGTAAGTTAGTAGAGTACAATTACTTTACTCATCTCAACCAGACTCAAAACAACAATCTATCACATCATGAAGTGATGCATCATACTTTATTTACTTGATTCTTGTTTTTTCTTCAATCTAGATAGTTACATATTAGCTTACCACATGACGTGACCTAATCAGAATTAGGTCAATTGTTCTCCTTCTAAACAAACCAGTAAGTTCTTAGTTCCTTTGTAAAGGTGAGAGAAACTTTTTACACATTGAAATTATCAATCAATCATTGTTAGAACACCATTAGAAACCTAGAAGCACTGGACGGCCGTTTCGTCCTGGTATAGGATTCATCAATAGTGCGAATCCAATGCGTGAAGTCACGCAGATCGATCGGATTTAAACAGTAACACCGTTGGATGCCGGCTCCCTTGTCCAGAGGTTAGGCGTTGGCGCACGAGACCGAAGGTCCTGGATTCGATTCCTGGAAGTAGCAGGAATCGTGAATGTGCACTGCCACTAGTGAGTCCCAAACCAAGACGAAGCGGCCGTCCAGTGCTTGCAAGTTTCTAGCGGTAGTCTAACACTGATTAATCAATCTGAAAACATAGTTGTATCAAGTTATTGAACTAATTACACTGAAACGTGGTAGTTGCGCAATATTGATCAAAATTAGCAATTAGCACACTTTTAGATACTAGCTTATTTGGTCAATATAGTTTGGATGCTCAAGTACGAGATCAAAGGTCCTATGGTTTAAATTCATGCTCATTGGATTATAAAATGCACTGGACTGATGAGTTCCACACTAAGACAAAATAGTCATCCAATGTATCTAGATTTCCAATGGTAGTCTAAAATCGATTAATTCATGATTTCAAAGAATTAAAATTAGTTTTTATTTTATGCTCGTATTCATGTGACTGATTCAACTTTGTTTAAAGTCCTATTTGCTGTGTTGATTTTTAAATAATTATCTAGATCGAGGGGTAACAGTTCATCGTTAAAAGAAAACTGATCAGCACACCGAACAATTGACACAAATTTACTATGATATGATTAAAAAATATCAACTTGACGAGTAAAACACACAAAAAAAGTAGGCAGAGAGAGAGAGAGAGAGAAGGAGAGTTCAGTTTGTTTGTATTTAAAACAGACAACACATGTATATATATTTTTCAATGAGATTTATAGAGATTAATGTTTTTATACAGTGAAATCATCAATCAATCAATCATTGTTAGAAAATATCGTAAAATGTGCTCATCACTAGTGACTATAGCTTCGTGAGGAGATTCTTGGAGGTCTAGTAAGAAGATGTGACCAGTGGAGTTCAACCCTGTCAAGTGTACGCAGTAACTATTGAAGACAAATGGGTAAGGTCGCGCAAAATATCTAGATTGATTAGAGTTAGACATTAACACCGTTGGATGTCCAGAGGTTAGGAGTCTGCGTGTAAGATCGAAAGTCCTGGGTTCAAATCATGCAGTCAGTCAGTCAGTTGCAACGTAGAACTTTGTACGTATGTACATAAGTTCATGTTGCCATAACACATTAGCACATAGACGCAAATATCAAATCAAATCCCATAATGAGGTAGAGGTGTTACTGGTAATGAAGAACAATAGGGTTTGAAGATATTATTCAAGAAGTATAATTCAGTGAGATAAGGTTAGAAAGACAAAGGTAGAGGTACTGACGAATCCAGAAGATTAGGATTTGAGAGAGCACAATGAATGGATGCACTTGTGCCATACCCGTAACAGTACGCGAAACAAAATTGGTCAAAATCACGTTCAAATCATGCGAGTAGCAGGAGTCACAGACGCGCACTGCCACTGGTGAGTTCCATACCAGGACGGAACGGCCATCCAGTGTACATGCAAGTTACTAATGGTGGTCTAACAATTATTCATTGATGATTTTAACATATATTTGGGCATTAAAAGTATATTTTTTGCTGTTTATTGAACTGAAAATTATTCTGATTATTGATTGAAGATAGTTAGAAAAGCTTTCCAAAAATAACAGCATACTTATTACCATGATGTATGCAACTATATATATAAACATATATATGTTTTGGACGGCAGTTGACATTTAGCGTGTACTTGAACAAAACAAATTTAGATTATTAGCATCTTCTTTTTACAGCGCTAAACAATCCTAATCGTGTAAACAATACACACAAAATCTTCAATGAAACAAAGTAGGTAGGTAAGTAAGTAAGCAAGTAACCGAAATCAGGGGATAAGGCGTCAAAAAAAGACATGCGCCCAAAAATCAATCAATCAATCAATCAGTCAAACACATAAAAATCAAATAGAAATAGAAAACTAACACTTAAATCACGATAGATTTTTTGATATTTATTTGGTAAACGATCCCATGTTTGTTTTAGTCGTCCAACAGGTGTTTGATGCAATCCAACAAGTAGACAGAACATTGTATTGAAATTACGCAATTCACGGCATAATTTAGCTAGCTACAATAGAAGAGTGAACAATGAAATAAAATGTAGTGTAATGATATTAGTTTAAAACTGTCAATAGCATATTTTATTTGTTAAATATGTGGGAGAAAAAACAAGCCTAGTTATTCAGTTTTGTTAGATATTGCTAGGATATTCATCCAATATCTTAAGAGAATTATTGGTCGATTCCTACTGGTCAATTTTATAGTTGTCCTAGATATCAATATCACGTGCTTCAATGTTGTTTCTTAATGGTTGTCCTGACTATCAATGTCATTTTAAATGTTGCTTCTTATTGGTCGTCTTAACTGTCAATGTTACAGACTTCGATGCTGTTTCCTATTCGACCCAAATGTATAAATACGCATTATCTGTAACGTTTTATGACTAGGACCCGGATCCCTAGTCCGGGATCCTGATTCTCTTCTGCACTCCGAGCTCGTACTTTCTGGATGCTTGTAGAATACACGTTCTACTTCATATCAAGTCTTGTCTTCTTTTACTCAATATGGGGGTTGGGATAATCGGATTGGAGTTGCATGTCATGTCGCCGGATCCTCGATCCTCGCTCTCGTATTCCGACTAAGGTATACTCGTAATAGTTCAAGTATATCAAAATGACGTGTTTACGTGCAGGTGCAACAGATATAGATTTAAACTTATACAGTACTTTTGAGTCATAATGTTTAGATTTGAGTAGCCAAATTTTACTTAAGCTTATTGTAAAAGAGCCATTTAATAAAACAATCTTATAATGCCATTAATATGTACGGTGTGGCTAAATAAAATGTATCAAGAGGCAACATGAGAAGGCAAGTGGGTACTTCATTTCAGGAAGCGATAGCACATTTGAATTGAGAAATATGTTTCAGTGGAATAAATTCAAAGAGAGGGTCATGGGGAATTCAGAAGGTTAGAATTTGAGGAAGCACAATGAATGAATGCACCTACGCCATTCCAAACGGTTCTGCGCGATGTTATTCAAGCTCTTTAACCATCAGTTACTATAATCTCGTAGACCCCAACTAGGTAGTCTATATCTACTAGCATGGTTCAGTCCATCTGACAGTCACTTGATGAATTTGTGCCATGTTTTTGGTTTGGCCGCCATAAGCTTTTTTCAACCTATCTCTGCATCAGATAACATCGCTCGTCGACGTAGTCGGTGGTTGTGCATAGTTACACATGTCCCAAACACTTCAACTGATAAAGATTCGCTACTTCACCAATTGATCTGCCATCCTTACCTAGTACCTTTTTCCTAAAAAAAACAGTAGTTTACTCGGCGGTCCTCAGGATACACAAGCAATGCTTTGGAGATACCTATGATCGAAAACAAGTAACCTACGAATATCTTCTATACTTACTCGCCATGTTTCGCACTCACAAAGTTGGACGGATGGTAAAACGATTTGAAGGTGTATGAAATATCGTACAGGGGATTTTACTTCACGCAATAAAAAAAATAAGATTTCTGACATTTTTTTGGCTTAGCGTAAAAAGAATAAGTTATAAGTTATGATGATGAAATACCTTGATAAAACGTTTCAACAAATCAACACGTCGATTTAAACTCGGTTCATTGCATATTTCTGTCGGGGCCCAATAAGCTTCACGATTGACTAGTTCAGTGAATCGATCCAAATTTTCATGACCTGTTGCGTAACCAACAGATGATGAAATATTATTTGTGTCTGTATTACTACTATTACTCAATCCAAATACTTCATCAATATATTCAGTCGATTGAACCGATCGAAATATTTCATAATCATCAATAGTGAGACGTGTAGCTAATTCATTTGGTGGAAGCTAAAACCAGAAAAAAAAATCATTACAGGTAATTCAATCATTAGACAATAGAAATGACAAGTAATTCGAGGATTATTGTAAAAAAAAGGGAAGGTTTAGGTTAGGAGTGAGAAGGTAGTATTTATGACAGATGGTGCACGAAAACTCAGGTGAGGCCATTAACACATATCTTCGGCTTCCCACCGACTTGGGTGACCTCGAATGGTCAGTGCTTCAAATCACTCTGTACTGATGGATCATCGAACCGACGACCGATTAGCCACTTCGCATCAAACACTGTATTTGTTGGGTTAATCGCCCCTTTGGTTCAACGCTGCATCACTAATCAAACGCTCATTGTCTATGAATGCAACATAACTCGGTGTCATTCTGTTATCCTGGTCGTTGGCGATTATTTCCACTTTACCATGCTGGTAAACACCAACACACGAATATGTTGTGCCAATGGCGTTAGGCATTCTCTGCTAGGCCAAGACGAACAAATAAACTCAGTTTAAGTTGCTATACCACATTAGCACAGAGGTTCAATTGTCACTTTAAATACAATAGTGGTAAAGATAGTAGGAGTATGAACAGTAATTGGAGAGATTATGCTTCGAAGATATTATTCAAGAAGTTGAATCTAGTGAAATAAACTTCTAAAGAAAAAAGGTAAAGGTGATAAGGAATTCAGAAGTTTCAGATTTGCCAAAACACAAAGAATGAATGCCCCTGCGTCATTGCAAACGGTTTTGAGTCATGTCACTCATGGTCTCTAACCATCGGTGACTTTCGTCTCTAGCGGACCCCAACCAGGTAGTCGACATCTACCAACATGACTCAACTCAGTTGTCACTCCAAAATGTAGTTTAGAACGAAGTTTCAAGAGACCAGGAATAACGTTTAGGGAACTCGAACCGTTTGCATTAGCGTTGCAGGGTGATAAAAGAATGTGGGAAGGATGAGTTGTGAAGATAAGAGTGATGTTAGGGTGTGTAAGAAGGATTTGACTATGACCATTTCGATCTTGTGTGCTGTTACGGATATGAGGGCGGATGTCACTTTCCCGTTGCCCACACCGTCGAAGGGTGTATCACAGATTGATATTTATAGGAAGACCGCGCTACTGAAAACCAGTCTGCATTGAACAAGTATTTTGGGTTATTAGTTACGAGTACCCACAACTGCGCTGTCAAATGAGAAGAACATACATCTAGAAAAAAACTTTGTATCCAATCGATTTTAATTGGGAAGATTTTGTAAATAATTTTTTTCTAACTTCTTAGTATTCGCATTTTTCTCTAATTAAATTAATTGAAAAAAACGTGTAGATTTTAGAACTTCATTAATGGTTTGTGAAAAAAAATCAAATCCCATAGTGATAAAGATAGTAGAGGTATTAATGGTAATGAAGAAGACTAGGGTTCGAAGATATTATTCAAGAAGTATAATTCAGTGAGATAAGGTTAGAAAGACAAAGGTAGAGAAAGTGCTGACGAATCCAGAAGATTGGAATTTGAGAGAACACAAAGAGTGAATGCACCTGCGCCATTTGAGCCATGTCGTTCAAGATCTCTAACAATCGGTGACTTTCGTCTTGCGGACCCCAGCCAGGTAGTTTACATCTACCAATGATTGTTCACATAAGAATTATTTCAATGAAAAGTATTTTCTTGATAGGCTGACCCAAGTGGACCGTTTTTTTCACTCACTCAACATACAAATATTGACGTAAGTCAAACTAGTTGGAGAACTGATTGCTTTACATTTGTTGTGTTTTTGTCTAATATCACATGTAAGACAAATAAAACACCAATAATCAGAATACGATTGTTAATAGTTCAGAATTCTTTCACTGATCAACTACCCGTTGAGTACACAAGGCAGTAAATAGCCTCTACTAATCGCAATGACATATTTCAAGTATACATTGACCATATTACACCCTACGCTAAATAAATCGAATAATGAATGATAAATATTTCCCTTGGTTTACATTATAGAGTGAATGAATCTAGCTGGACAATCACTTAAAATCAGAAAGCATGAGACCGTTTATTTGGTTTTCAGTATAGAACTCCTGATCAATGGATATCCATGCAAATCACTAAACTGAAATCCAGTCAATAAGCTGTTACCGATATGAGGGTGGATATTAATTTCCCGTTGCTCACACCGTGGAAGGGTGCTTCTTGAGGGACCTGAAAGGGAAATCGGATTAGTGTTCGTCTTAGTGACCTAGGAGCATGACCGCAGAGCCTAACGGACAACTGCTTTGGGCCGGTCACACACAGTCTCTTTTATGGGAAGTTTGTATAGTGTTAGTTCCGCACTTTAAGTGAACTTACCTACGGAGATGGAAATCCGTGAGGTGGGATGAGGTGTGAAATTTTAAAGGTCGACCTTTTCTGATCCCTTCCTTCCTTGTCAGAAGGTAGCATCGTTGTAGATGCTGATTGTCCAAGGGAAAGACCATGCTGCTCTCACACCCCTCTTCAGTCAGCAGTACGACTTCTACCTCAGACCTTGAGTAGATGCTTTTAGTCTCATCGTTCTCTAATCGATCTGCCTGGCATGGTAGAACCTACCCGAACACAAGTTCCAGCCAGTATAGCTCGGCTGGGTCATCACCATAGGCAAGACCGACCACCATCAACGTCAAGGTAGCAGCTACTACAGTAACCTGGAATCCGAGATCCAGTGATGTGCACAGGATAATTTTCACTATAAGCTTAATAATATTCAATCTGATGTCAGTTTCTCACAAAACTCTTTCAACAATCAAGAATAATTCTCAGATGAATATCAATTCAATGAACAGAGGTTATATATGATTAAATTGAAGCTAACTACTACTACTGAAAGCAGAGCTTCTGTAAAACTAGCGGAGAATGACAGCAATAATATTCACTGGAAAAATTGTGTGTGTGTGTGCATGTGAAACAACTTTACGGGTAGAAATGTGACAATTTATTTGCATCAGTTTTAATCAATCTATCAATCAATCAATCAAATATAAAGAATTAACATTACCACCTCCTACCTGTGTAAATGTCACACGACTTTCAGTTAGAATTGTTTTAGCCACATCATCTGCAATCAGTGGGTCATGATTGTGTAAATTTTTTAAATAATATCTTGAATTCAATGTTAAACGTCCAGCTAAATCATCTAGATTATTGGCTAGACGACTTTGTTTCACAATTGGACCAGATTCCACAGTCACCTATAGACAATAAAAAGGATTTATTTTTGAAATTAATCATTTGAATGATATTACGGATTTAAAGAAAAAACTTATTTCATTTTAGATTGGAGCTATGTTACACCTGCATGTAAACACGTCAACTTGATATACTTGAACTATTACGAGTATCCCTTAGTCGGAAAACGAGAGCGAGGATCCGGTGACACGACATACTACTCAAATCCGATTATTCCAACCCCCATATTGAGTGAAAATAAGAAGACAAGACTTGATATGAAGTACAATCTGTATTCTACAAGCATCCAGAAATTACGAGGTCCGAATCCAGAAGAGAATCAGGATCTCGGACTAGGGATCCGGGACCGGGTCCTGGTCATAAAACGTTACAGATAATGCGCATTTATACATTTTAGTCGAATAGGTAATAGCATCGAAGTTTGTGACATTGACAGTTAAGAAGAGCAATAAGAAACAACATTGGAGCACGTGACATTGATATCTAGGACGACCATAAAATTGACCAGTAGGAATTAACCAATAGGAATCGACCAATAATTCTTTTAGGATATTGGATGAATATCCTAACAAGCTCGTTGTCAGTAAGCATGGGTAAATATCGGTTTGAACTAAATTCTCTCATGTTTAGACATTTTAACTATCACTGATGTGATGACTATTCCTACTACTGCTATAGGTGGCCAGATCAAAACATGGCGGAAATTCATGAAGGCAGAGAATATCGACTAATTCGACTACCTGGTTGAGGTCCGTGAGATGATAATAATCGATGGTTAGTGATCTTGAATGACATGGCTGAAAACCGTTTGTAATGGCACACATGCATTCATTCATTGTATTCTCTCAAGTCCCAACCTTCTGAATTCTTCATCACCTTTATCTTTACATTTTGAAGTTTATTTCACTAGATTCTATTTCTTGAATAATATCTTTGAATCCGAATCTCTCCGATTACTTCTTATACTTTTACTAACTCTACGACCACGAGATTTGAATTGACAATTATATCTCTGTAAGTCTAATTCTGTTGGTCAATTCTTATTGGCTGTTCTAACTATCAATGTCACATACATTAAATGTTGTTTTCTAGTCGACCTAACTGTATAAATGTGCATTATTTGTAACGTTTAGGGATCCGGATCGTTAGCCTCTTCTGAACTCAGACCTCGTATTTTCTGGATGCATGTAGAACACACGTTCTACTTCATATCAAGTCTTCTTTTATTTAATGGGGGTTTGCGACGTTTGGATTTGAGTAGCCTATCGTGTCGCTGGACCATCGTCGCTCTCGCACTCGTTTACTGACTAAGGTGAACTCATAATAGTTTGAAGCATATCAAAATGACATGGTCACGTGCATGCTTATAACATTCAATAAATGTGAACTGTAAATATTTAATTATAAAAATGTTCACACAATTCAATAAATTCACTGAAATGATACATTGAAGAGAATTGTACATGTCTAAGTCTATTGTCATTTAAGTATTTTTTGTGACAGAGATGTAGAAAAACATGTATATTTATTAATGATTTATTTTCTATTGAAACAACAAATATTTATTTCATATAAGCTCGATTGGCTTTTGTCAACCTGCGTCACTTATGGCGTAGGCGATATCCGTTTACTGATCAAGGGCGAGTGTACTGCGCAGTAGTTCGCTCCGTCTTACATTATGGCTGTGAAACTTGGCCAGTCAGAGTAGAAGATATTCGTAGATTACTGGTTTTCGATCATAGGTGTCTTCGAAGCATTGCTCGTGTACCCTGGAACAACCTAGTGAGCAATGCTATTATTAGGAAACGGGTATTAGAAGGGTGGCAGATCAATTGATGAAGTAATGAAACTTTATCAGTTGAGGTGGTTTGAACATGTGTTGCGAATGCTTAACCACCGACCGCCTCGTCAAGCTATGTTTTGCGATGTAGAGAGAGGTTGGACGAAAGCTAGGGGCGGCCAAACCAAAACGTGGCACAAATCCATAAAGTCACTGACAAGTGGACTGAGTCATGTTGGTAGGTATAGACTACCTGGTTGGGGTCCACGAGATGACAGTAATCGATGGTTAGAGACCCTGAATGACATGGCTCAAAAATGTTTACAATGGCGCAGGTGCAGTTACTCTTTATGTCCTATGAAATTCTAACCTGAATCCCACGTGGTTTGACAACTTGAACTGCTGTATTTACATGCAAAGTTCTACGTTGTTGTTGTTGATGATGATAATATTTCATATGATAATTGTTATGTTTAAGAATTTTTCAATTATTTGAAAGTTATACATGAATGATTAAAGTGATACATTAACATCATTGGATGCCTCCCCCCCCCACTCAGTAGTCTCGAGTTTAATTACTCGAGTGTGAGATCAAAGGTTTGAATCCCGTGAGAGGGTTTATGGTGGCGCGCTGCCACTGATGAGTCCCATACTCGTTAAAAAACAACCAACCAGTGCTTTACAGGTTTCTACTGGTGGTTTACCAATGATAGAGGCAGGCTTTCAATGATCTTTTAATTATTTGCATGTTGTACACTTAGTGATTCTAGTTTTCCATGAGTAAAATGTTTTTCATCTTAATCACAGTATAAATGTCTATGCTATCAGTAAGCTACAGCATAGAACTTGATACAAGCGTACATGAGTTTAAGCTGCGCACACAGAGAAAGATGAAATTGTCAAGTCAAATCCTATAGCAGTAGTAGAGTTAGTAGTAGTGTGGTGTGAGCTATTTATAAGTAAAATATGACGTCAGTGTCAACGTAATGTCTGGCAGCAGAAGATCGGCGAAGATCAAGAAAGGAACAGTTAGAACACAATGGAATTTGTATGAAACGCATGAATAGTGACAATGGATTGATGTTATTTGCAACAGGAACAGTCCAGTTCGATATGATGAACTGATATTTTGCAAATTAACAATTTACGGTATGGTTTTCCGATTTTACTAAGTAACTCTGTAATTTTCGTTAAATACAATTCGGTTGCCCCACCTGTGTTCTCGTTCACTACAGTAGTAGTTTTCTAACTCTTCCTTTCTTGATCTTCCCCCCATATTATGCTACCAGACTTTACGTTGACACTCACGTCATATACTACTTATAAGTAGTTCGCACCACAGCACCACACTCGTCCCCCCTTTTAATAAGCTGTCGTCGTAGTCCTTCAAAACAGAGCCCCTGGTCAGTTAATATCACCTTCCGTATTCCGTGACACGCTACAATATGCCGGATTACCACTTCGGTCATCGTTCTTGATCACTGGTCTGGAATGGATACGGCATCTATCCAACGTGTAGCGTTTACAAGTTCCCGATGCTGGAACACGCCGGCAGGCACACACTCGATAAATCTCGACGCCAAAGACTGTGCCCCGCCCACTCCTCACGGCGCAATCCGGTGAGCTACACAGCAAGCACCAACAGGTCACCATCGGCCGACAGCCGCGCCAACCGGAACCTCTGCGGCGCCTCCTCCCTGTCCGCTGGGCTGTCAAACTCCATTATCAGCCGCCCGGTGACCGTCTCCCACGCCGTCTACTCGGTGGCACCGTCCAGGCTGTCGTGTACCGCTTTCGCCTCACCTCCCCGCAGCGTCCCCAGCACCGTCAACTCCGCCCCAAGCCCCCACCAGCTCCACCGTGGCCCCAAACTCCTCCAGGAAGCTCCGCCAACCTCCACCCTGCAACTCCTTCGGCCACGGGAGCCCCTTCCTTCGAGCAGGCAGCGACACCAAATGTAGTGAATGAGAACACAGGTGGGGCAACCGAATTGTAATTAACGAAAATTACAGAGTTACTCAGTAAAATAGGAAAACCATATCGTAAATCGTTCATTTGCAAAAGATCAGTTCATCCTATGGAACTGGACTGTTCCTGTTGCAAAACATCACTCCATTGTCACTATTCATGCGTTTCATACAAATTCCATTGTTTTCTAACTCTTCCTTTCTTGATCTTCCCCCCATATTATGCTACCAGACTTTACGTTGTCATACAAATTCCATTGTTTTCTAACTCTTCCTTTCTTGATCTTCCCCCCATATTATGCTACCAGACTTTACGTTGACACTCACGTCATATACTACTTATAAGTAGTTCGCACCACAGCACCACAGTAGTATTAATATTAACAGGAATGGAGATAATTAGGGCTCCAAAAAATTATTCAAGAAAGTAAAATTGTTAGGTTCATCACTAGGTATGCTTGAAACTATTACGGGTTCACCTTAGTCGATAAACGAGAACGAGAAAATGAACCAGCGTCCAGGTAGGCTACCCTGATCCAATGGCCAACCAAAAGTCTTGATATAGCGTAGAAAGTATATTCTACAAACACCCAGCAAGCAATATGCAATCAAGCAGACAAATCTCGTTTATTTATACATAGCAGAAACGTCGTTGGGAAAGTCACAAACATAGCACTCCAAAATACACAGTAACCAATCACAGACAAGGATCTTCCTGGTGGGAAATGAAATCTCAAAGTCAACTGATCAGCCCATGCTCGCAAACATGAAATCCAAAATTAAGGCATTTATCAAGCGAATTCTGGGGGTCTAACCTCCCCAACAATAATGCAAGCAGCCTGGAGTTTCTCTGGGGCTACTGCTGGTTTCAAGCCCGAATAAAGGAAGAGGGTTGGGCATAGTTGTTGGCGACCTCAGCCCGTAGAAAATCAACTTGCCCAAAAAGAAACGCTAACTAGAAAAAGGTCATGAGGAATTCTCAAGTTTACGCTAATAATAACAAACAATATGTGTCATGCATATTTTTTGATTTTGACCAATTCGGTGTCGTGTGCTGGTACGGGTATGAGGGCGGTTGTCATTTCCCGGCTGCCCACACCGTGGAAGGTTGTTTTTTGAGGGACATGAAAAGGAAGATAGATTAGTGTTGGTCTTAAAGACCTGGGTGCGTGACCGCAGAGCCCAAGGGAAAACTGCTTGAGGCCGGTCACGCACGGCATTTTTATGAAAGGTTTTTTGAGGATTAGCTCTGCTCTTAAAGGACCTTAGTGGGCACCCTTACCGCCGGAGACAGAAATCTGTAAGACAAGCTGAGGTGTGACATTTTTAGGGTCGACCTTTTCTAACTCCTTCCTTCCTTATGAGAAGGCAGCATCGCTACAGATGCTGGTTGTCCGAGAGAAACACCTTACTGCTGTCACACCCCTTCATCACAGTCAGCAGTACGACTTCGCTCTCAGACCTTGGGTAGCTGCTTTTAGTCTCATCGTTCTCCAACCGACCTGCCCGCCTGGCATGGTAGAACCTCCAGGAACATACGTTCCAGCCAGTATAGCTCGGCTGGATCATCAAGATATGCGTGCCCGACCACCACGTCAAGGTAGCAGCTACGGTCGGGCATGCATATTTACCAACAAACTACTCATAATAATAATAATAATAATAATAATAATAATAATAATAATAATCACAATTATCAACAATAAAACATACATGATATAAACAATAGAAATGTTGATCTTCTTCTGGTATATTAAATTCTTCCATACATAGACGTGTTGCTTCATGTGCACTGGTTTGTTTACTTGGCAATAGAATTAATTTACTAGAATGATCTTTACCACTGTCACTTGATCGCCATACACGTATCACAGATAATTGATCTAAATGATGATGATGATGATGACTCGTAATATTGTTGCTACTAGAATTTAAGCTTGAATAATCAAAATGATGTTGGGTTCGTTGACGTATTGCAGAATATTCACTGGTTGTTGTTGTTGTAGCAGCGGCGGCAGCACCAGAAGCAGTAACATTACTACTACTACTACGACTACTACCACCAACACCAGTGAATGATTCATTCAACATGATTAAATCTGGTTGTGATGAAGATCGTTGTGGTGGTGGTGGCGGTGGTAGTGGTTGTTGTGCCGGCGTTTTTGTACTATGGTTCAATTTATCATTCAATGAATGCGGTTCACCAGGTCGACATGGATGATGTTGATGATTATTATCAATGATGATGTTCGACGAATCTTTCAGTGAATGTGACCAACGTGATGGAGAATTAACTGACTAGATTGTTGTTGTAAGATATGAAATAATAATAAGAGGAGAGTATTTTATTAAATGATATTGTTATAGTGTGGATAGGCATTGCAATAATAATCATACTACTAATAATAATATTCAAGATATACATACAATAAGTAGTATCTGAAGACAAACCACAAAAAATTGATTACTTACTTACTTACTTACGCCTGTTACCCCCAATGGAGCATAGGCCGCTCGCCAGTTTTCTCCAACCAACACTGGCCTGGGCTTCCCTCTCCAGTTCTGTCCAATGTTTGTTCATTCCTCTCATATCTTTCTCTATTTCTCGGCTTAATGTGTTCCTTGGCCTTCCTCTTTTCCTTTTGCCTTGAGGGTTCAATGTGAGGGGTTGTCTCGTGATGCAGTTAGGTGCTTTTCGTAGTGTGTGTCCTATCTACTTCCACCGCTTCTTCCTGATTTCCAACTCCACTGCAATCTGGTTTGTTCTCTCCCACAGTACGTTTTTGCACATGGTGTCTGGCCAACGAATCCGAAGTATTTTGCGTAGACAACTGTTAATTAACACTTGACTTTGGTAGTTCTCGAAGTTACCGATCCATACAGTAGAACTGTCTTGACATTTGTATTGAAAATCCTGATTTTGGTTTTGGTTGAAAGTTGTTTGGGGTTCCAGATATTTTTCAACTGTAGAAATGCAGCCCTTGCTTTGCCGATCCCCACCCTCATATCTGTATCGGATCCAGCTTGATTGTCAATGATACTGCCTAGATATGTAAAGATGTTAACATCCTCCAAGGCATGTCCATCAAGAGTGATTTGGTTGGTGCATGTTGTGTTGCACCGGAGAATTTCGCTTTTTCCTTTATGTATTATTATAATTAAAAAGAAATTATTCATGTCATCAGATAAACTGGACATTCAGTTCAGCTTCATCGCTATGTGAACATCAATTAACAGTCAAGCGGTATGATATTTCTTCCCTCTTATACCACAATACATACGGACAACTGATGGATATACATTCGGTTGGAACAATGTTGAAATAATGGATAGAGGGAGTACAAAGAACATTAGAGAATATTTAGAAGCTCAATAATCGGCAATCAACAAACACATCAATATTGATCCAATTTATCAACCAATCAGAAAAATCATAGACAAAAGGGGGATACAATCGAAATAAAGAGATAGATAACGACAATCGAGGTCAACAGGACAAGAACTACGAGTCAACGGTGGAGAATACTTAGAATACTTAACTTGTCTTCCAGAGGTTTATGCTGACCATTTTGTTATAAAGAACAACAATGTGTTGGGGACGTTCGAAAGTCACCAATGGTTAGAGACCTTGAACGACATGGCTCAAAATCGTTTGCAACGGCGCAAGTGCATCCATTCGTTGAGCTCTCTCAAATCCTAATCTTCTGGAATCGTCAGCACCTCTATCTTTGTCTTTCTAACCTTATCTCACTGAATTATACTTCTTGAATAATATCTTCAAACCCTAATCTTCTTCATTACCATTAATACCTCTACTATCTTTATCACTATGGGATTTGATTTGACATTTGCCTCTGTGTGCTAATGTGGTATGGCAACATGAACTTATGTACATACGTACAAAGTTCTACGTTGCAACTGACTGACTGACTGTTGGGGACGTAAGATCCACAGAACTCACTTGATAAAGGTCTTAATTTTGGATTTCATGTTTCGAGCATGGGCTGATCAGTTGACATTGAGATTACATATCCCAGCCGAAGATCCTTGACTGTTATTGTTTGATGCGTTATTTTTGTACGTTATTTTTGTGGCTCTCCCGAGGATGTTTCTATCATGTATAAATGAACTCGATTTGTGTGCTTATGAACGTCGTATTTTCTGGGTGCTTGTAAAATACACTTTCTACGTCTTGTCAAAACTTCTTCTACTTAGTAAGGTGCTGGGACGCTCGTATTACAGTAGCCTATCCTGTCACTGTATCATTTTTCTTCGCTCTCGCTCACCGACTAACGTGAGCTCGTAATAGTTCAAGCATATCAATTGACGTGCATAACACAATGAAATCTCTACAATCAAAACATGCAACTCAGAGAACAAAATGTCACCACAATTGTTCACGCCTTTTCTAAATATTAAGCTAAATGATAATATTTACAAAGTCTAATAGAGATGATATTCGACATTTGAGCAGCACTTTATTTAGGTCAGCGAATAACAGAATATCAAGAGAAGTACTGTTTAAATCTTTGTTGTTGTTGAAAACATAGTCGACTTGAGTAAAGTTCAAGCCTATGACCGATTATTAGTTGAGAGTGAAGTCAATTGAGCACAACTACACAACAATGGATCAAAATACAACCAAGCTTACTGATGACGCAATGAATCATTCATATTTTTACTTTTAGGACTGCTTCTCTTAGCCTCTTTTTTGTATTTGTAAACTAATTATATCATTCTCAGCTTCTTCAATACACATTCAATCAATATGCCCCAAGACTTCTTAAAAATGATATGAGTGCTTACTAATCATTATTAGTAAGGGAAGTTAGTCAGAGTCAGTCAGATGCAACGTACAACTTCATACGTAAGTACATCAGTTCATGTTGCCATACCACATCAGCACAAAGATATAATTGTCAATTCAAATCCAATAGTACAAGAGGTAGTAAAGGTATTAGAAGTGATCGGAGAAGTTAGGATTAGAAGATATTATTCAAGAAGTATGATTCAGTGAGAAAAGTTTAGAAAGTCAAAACTAGAGGGGTTGAAGAGTCCGGAGATTAGGGTTCGAGAGAACACAAAGAACAAATGCACCGGTGCCATTGCGAACGATTTTGAGCCATGTCATTCAAGAACTCTAACCATCGATTATTATCATCTCGCAGACCCCAACCAGGTAGTCGACAATTACCGACATGGCTAAGTCCACTCGTCAATGACTTCATGGATTTCCGCCATGTTTTGGTTTGGCCTCCCTAGCTTTCTTCCAACCTATTCCTATACTACAAAACAAAGCTCGACGAGGCAGTCGGTGGTTCGGCATACGCAACACATGTCCCAACCACCTCAACTGGTGAAGTGTCACTACTGCGTCCACTGATCTGCCATTCTTACCTAGCACCCGATTCCTAATAACAGCGTTACTCACTCGGTTGTCCCACGGTATACGAGCAATGCTTCGAAGACACATATGATCGAAAACCAGTAACCTACGAATATCTTCTACTCTCACTGGCCATGTTTCACAGCCATAAAGTAAGACGGAGCGGACCACTGCGCAGTACACTCGTCCTTTAGTCAGCAAACGGATATTTCGCCTACGCCATAAGTGACGCAGGTTGGCAAAAGCCAATCGAGCCTTCTGTATCCGAGCTGAGATTTCGTCAGTTGCCAGGGCATCAGCACTGATGAAACTCCCCAGATAAGTGAAGCGGTCTACACGTTCGACTACTTCACTCCCTATCACTAGTTCAGGTGCCGATGCAACCCAGTCTTGCAGCAACATTTTGCATTTCGAGGGGGAAAACGACATCCCGAACATGCTTGCATTGTTGCTTAGGGTGATCAGAAGACTCTGTATTTTGTCAGCGTCTTCACCAAGTAGGGCATATTCTAAGTCAATAAGTGATCCCCCTGGTAAAAGGTCTACTCCTGAAAATTTTGATCATGATAAGGTTATTTCTAAGAGCATGTCTATCATAAAATTAAACAAGAATGGAGAAAGTGGAAAATGACTAAACATTAAGAAAATCAATTAAACATTTAATACACAATGAACAATTTATTTTACAAAAAAGATTATTTAAAAGAATAATTACCTGTTTATTATTGCCAATTGTTGTTGTGGTGGTGGTGGTGGTGGTGCCGGCTGTGGTTGTCTTATCATCATCATCATCATTATCACCAACAACAAAAAATGCTTGACTATCTTCATGAGAATATGTTGATCGAGTTGGTGATGTATTAGCACTGTGTGATGAACGACCCGAGGTGGTGACATGTTGTGTTAATAAAGATTGAAAATGTTGACCATGTCGTTTCAGTGAATTATTATTACCTGGTGAAGTTGATGATGACGGTGTACTACTACTACTAAGCATTGAGAAAGAACCAGGTGATGGCATTTTCGGCAGTAAGAGTACAGCTGAAGTAGGCGGTTGCTGTTGTTGTTGTTGTAGATAAGGATCATTGGAATTCCTTACAAGATCATCAGGGATGCTTATACTAGTTGGTCTATTGAAAGGAACAAGAGGAAATTAGTTTTTTTCAGTGAATATTTCCCACTAAATTATAGTTAATTCAATCGTGTTAATACAACTAGAGAAATCAACAGTTGATCTATGAAGATAATAACACTATCACTAGCACTCCTAACACTAAATCAATCAATAGCAACGTGGAACTTCGTACGTACGAACATCAGTTCATGTAGCCATACTGTGGTGCGAGCTACTTATAAGTAGTATATGACGTGAGTGACAACGTAATGTCTGGCAGCCGAAGATGGAGGAAGATCAAGAAAGGAACAGTTAGAAAACAATGGAATTTGTGTATGAAACGCATGAATAGTGACAATGGATTGATGTTTTGCAGCAGGAACAGTCCAGTTCGATATGATGAACTGATATTTTACAAATGAACGATTTACGATATGGTTTTCCAATTTTACTGAGTAACTCTGTAATTTTCGTTAAGTACAATTCGGTTGCCCTCACCTGGGTTCTCCTTCACTACAATGCCACATTAGCACAGAGAGATCGAGTTATCAATTCAAATCCTTATAATAGTAGAAGTATTAGTAGTAATAATTAGAAATTTTAAGGTTCGACGATATTATTCCAAAAGTAGAATCTAGTGAAAGAAACTTAAAAAAACATAAGGGTGATGAGGAATTCAGATACTTACGATTTGAGCGAACATAAAGAATGAGTGCACCGGTGCCATTGCAAACGATTTCGAGCCTTGTCATACAACGTCTCTAACCATCGATTACTAGCATCTCGCGGACCCCAACGAGGTAGTCTATACACACCAACATGACTCATTCCACTTGTCAGTGACTTCATGCATTTCTGCCATGTTTTGGTGTAGCTACCGCCAGCTTTCATCCAATCTATTCCTACACCACAAAATATAGCTCGACGAGGCAGTCGGTGGTTAGGCATACACGTAACAACACATGTCCCAACCACCTCAACTGATAAAGTTTCAACACTTCATCAATCGATCTGCCACCCTTATCTAGCACCCGTTTCCTAATAATAGCATTGCTCACTAGGTTGTTCCAGGATATACGAGCAATGTTTCGAAGACACCTATGATCGAAAACTATCTTCTACTCTCACTGGCCATATTTCACAGCCATAAAGTAGGACAGAGAGAACTAATGCACAGTACACTTGTCCTAACATTAGATACTTATGACAGACAAACGAGCAATCAGACGAATGAGTACTTGGTGTTTGTTGAAACTAACTTCACTTCATCTCAGTATAAGTCAAATTCAAACAGATGAATATAATCTCTTACTGTCCTATAATCGAATCAATACAAACAACTCAATCTTACTCGAACTAATTCGGGTTAAAGAGTTAGATAGTATTATTAAGCAGACGAATAAACCTACAGTGTAAAACATGAAGCTGAATAGAGAATAGTGTAAATGGAGATAGGACGGTAGGGTTCAATGATTGAAAATAAAAACACTCGAGATTTTCAACTGATAGACAGTTTACAGGTTCTAAGTGCAACCCCATTTAATGTAGAAGATTGAATAGTACGTAGGAATCATTAGTCCATGACACCATGAGATTGGATTGAAAGCCAAACTCATTAATTGCTAGTTGATAGATATTTTAGTTTTATTGATCGTACAATTAATTACGCAACCAGATGTGGACATTTTCTAACTACTTTCTTTTAGTGTATAATATAAATTTTACTTCATATACCAATGAAACAAGCAAAAAAAAATACATGCTGTTGGAAAATTACTCGATTCAATTATTCAAAAACGAGCACAGTAGTTTTATCGTGTGTATTATCATCAACCAACACCAAAGTTAGAATTTTCAATACAAATGTCTGAACAGTTTTACCGAGTGGGGGCGTATACTTGAAGAATCACAAAAGCCATCATGCATAAAATATAAGTGTATTTATGAACAGTTGTCTATACAAGATACTGTGGACACAGGCACTATTAGTAACAAACTACTGTAGGATAGAACAAACCAGACTCCAGTTGAGGAAATTAAGAAAATGCGCTTGAGTTGGATAGGACTCAGACTGATGAAAGCACCTAACTGCATCACAATGCAGGTCCTGACTTGGAATCCTCAAGGCCAAAGGAATAGAGGAACGCTAACGAAAACATTATGCTGAGAAATGGAGACAGATATTAGAAGAAAGGATAGCGGTTGGGTGGAACTGGACAGTAAAGCCCAAGACAAAGTAGGTTAGAGAATGCTGGCCGGCAGCCTATGCTCCACTGGGGGTTACACCATTGCGAACTAATTTTTTTATGAGTGTGTTGATAATGGTGCCTTTTCTTCATTATCATACCACTCCCATTCAAACTTTATCCATTTCGATGAATGACATGAAGCATAGAAATTAAATAAAGTTCTTTCACATTTCCTTGATTTGTTATCATCAGTTGATTTTCTTTTTTTTTGAAATTGTTTTAAAACAATCATCGTAGCGGTACAGTTAAATTATTTGATCTTTTGTTGGCTGAGTATGTGTTGATGAATAGGGTTTAGTGTGGATTTTTAAACATTAATTCTGTCCATCGATTGATATGGGGGGACGGGGTTTCTTCCCCAGAAAGCTTAAGAAAAATGCTACAGTGAATTAGGATTTTATTAGCTCCATCACTCTCAGTCCATATATATATATATATATATATATATATATATATATATATATATATATATATATTTGCATAAACTTAATCCTTCCTTTTGACCTACTATTAACTATTTATTTATTTAATTAAAATTAATTAATGAATTTATATAAATTATTTAATAGACATTGATTAAACAAACAAACAAAGCAATTATTATTATTATTATTAGGTCAGCATAAATGTATCATGCAATCATCATTATTAACAGCCAGTCTCTATAATATACTAAAGGCTTTTTCTTGTCACCGCATCAATAATTCTGAATATATAAAAAGTATATATACGTACATTTAATGTACGGATATTGTGTCAAATAGGGCAACAGGCTTCATTAGCTAAGGCTTTAAAATCTCGCACCATCGATGTATGCTGCGTCTCGGAAACGCGCATACAGGATTCGAGTGGCGTTATTCACTTGACCTCACCATTTCAAGATAAAGAAGAAACTCGATTTACTTTTCGTGTATCCGGTAGTCATGATGCTGCTTCCAGGGGTCTCGCTGGTGTAGGTAAAGCATTGCGTCCTAATGCAGAACTAGCTTTCCTGGACTGGATCCTAGTAGATAGTCGCTTGTGCGCTTCTACTTCTTGAATAATATCGTCGAACCCTAATCTTTCTGATTATTGTCAATACTTCCACAACCCTCTAGCACTATGGGATATGAATTAGCAGTTGCGTCTTTGTGTTTGCTAATGCGATATGGCAACTATAACACTGTTGTACGTACGTACGTAAAAAGTTCTACGTTGCTTTTGATTGGACTGATTGAATGACTGATCAATGTATGAAAATCATCAAACTTTAGTAGTCTCTGTTTGTATCAAAATCATCACTCATCACCAATAAATAATACAAGTAAACATAGAATCAATCGTTATTAAATTGTCACGCTTTTATTTTACACACCAACAAAATTTAAAATGCATTTTGAAAAATGATTGCAAAACAATTAAAGTAAACGACTGACTGACTGATTGAATGAATGAATAAATGAAAACCATGATATTAACGGTAAGTAGAAACATTGAAATGTCCACATTTTAATATTTCATCAACCTTTCACCATGTGTACACAATACAAACTCAAACTATAGCAGCGTTAAACCATGTTGATTGAGGTAGAAGCTGTTAATGTTGTTGCTGCTACTGCTGATGATGACGATTAGGATTATCAAGGTCACATTATGTAATGGCGCCAAGAAAAAAGAACGTCATGATAAACAAAAACACAAATCAAAATAAACTCAACTATTTTATTGTTATGTTAAATTGTCTAAGTTGAATATTACAATTGAGCACCCATGAAATGTGTATATAAATGTTTTGGGGCAGAGTTTTGGAGGTTTGTGTTTTTTCACATTTGAAATCATCCATCAATCATTGTTGGACCGCCACTATTAGAAACCTGGGAGCACTGGATTGCCGTTTCGTCCTGGTATAGGACTCATCAACAGTGCGCATCCACGACTCCTGCTCCTCGCAGAATTCGAACCTCCAAAGCTCTGCCCCAAAATATCGTAACAGTGCCCACTATTGACTAGCTTCGTGAGGAAATTCTCAGAGTTCTAGTTGAGAAGACGTGACCAATCGAGTTCAACCCTGTCGGGTGTAGGCAGTAACTACCAAAGACAAATGGGTGAGGTCACGCAAAATCCCTAGATCAATCAGAGTTAGACATTAACACCGTTGGATGCCGGCCCAGTGGTCTGGTGGTAAGGCGTTCGCCTACAATGCCGAAGGTCCCGGGTTCGAATCCTGCGCGGAGCAGGAGTCGTGGATGCGCACTGCCACTGATGAGTCCTATACCAGGACGAAACGTCTATCCAGTACTTCCAGTTTTCTAATGGTGGTCTAACAATGATTGATTGATGATTTCAAATGTGTATATAAATGTATTGTATTGTAGAGTATAGTATGATGTAAAGTTTGAATACTGTTGATGACATTTTTGGGCAAAAAAACCATTTAACCCATCTATCTCAAGTTGAAACAGTGAGGAAACACAAAACACACAGAACAGTTTTAAAATTCATGTCATAGATTTTGTTTTTGCTTAAACAAATAATGACATCTCAGTGTAATTGCCTCCCCGCGCAGCGTCATGAGAACGTAGAACTTCGTACGTAAGTACATTAGTTCAGGTTGCCATACCGCATTAGCACACAGATGCAAATGTCAATTCAAAACCCATAGTGGTAGTTGTAGTAAAAGTATTAGCAGTAATGGAGAAGATTAGGGTTTGAAGATATGATTGGAGAAGTATAATTCAGTGAGATAACTTTAGAAAGAGAAAGATAGAGATGATGAGAAATTCAGAAG